TCATCCCTTTGACTAGAACGACCACCCAGTACCTCTTGTAACTCCTCGGTGTCCTGAATGGAGTCATGTGACCACCTTTAATTTCAAGCTTGCCTAGTATTTTCAGTCTCTACAAGAGGTGTATCTGACAGGCAGTAAGTACATCTGATAAGACATAGAACACAAATACTCAAAAGGGCTAAGGATGCATCTGCTCCTTTGTACACTGCTTCTTTTGTCTGCTAAAGCCGTTTCCTTTATATCTGTGGTTCTAGCTCCTGAGACCACATCCTCTCACCGAGGCAGGAAACATAAATGAAGATCAGGGCCATTGAGATGTGTTGTGTTAACTTGGACTGTGACCATAAATGTCTTTCCAAATGGCTGTCTGTTTGTCTGGGCTCTAATTTCTCTGCTCTCATCTTGTGAACTAACCTCACGGCAGATCAGCTGCCATCACAGCTCTGAACAAGAGAGACCACCCATTCTACAGCATCTGTCTTCACCTCCCACATCCCCAGACTACAGGTGTTTGTTTGTGCTTGTCATCAGCAGAGTGTTCTGGTGACCCCGTGTCCCTGACAGACAGACTGGGCTCTGCTGCTGGGAGAGTGGAGGTTGGGAAGCTGGAATCCAGTCAGAGAGCTTAATACTATGGAAAAACCCATCTACACAGGCATTGAGGGTCTGCCGTACGAAGGAACCATCAGCTAAATTAATTGTACTAGGATTGGTTCCTGGCAAAATTTGACATTGACAAAAATAGCCTTTGGTTAATACTCTTAACATGTAAAGAGTTCTTACAGCTCTAGAAGAAATGTGAAAAGAACATAAATCCCCTCCAAAAGGAAATAGGGAAGATATAACACAAGTGGAAAAAATTAAAATATAAGAAGACACATAAAAGGTAGATGCATTTCTTAAATAAAAAACTCATTCTTACCAAAAATCATGTGTTAATTAAAACAATATACCAATTTTGTCAAGTTGTCAAGATTACAGAAGGTGCTGACAAATAATGTCTAATGAATTTGAGAAGATTGATTAGTAATTGGTGCCCTTCTCACTCTTATATTTTACGTGTATGCTTGTTTCACTGTGTGTGTGTGTGTCTGCACTCATATATAACCTATAACCTGTGTGCATGGTGCCCATAGAGACCATAGGGGGTCAGAACCCCTGGAAATAGACTTACAGATGATTGTGAGCCACCACATGGGTGCTGGGAACTGAACACAAGTCCTCTATAGGAGCAGCCAGGGCTGCTGGGCTGCGGCTGCTGCTTTTTGTTTTTTTGAGACAAGGTTTCTCTGTGTAGCCCTGGCTGTCCTGGAACTCACTCTGTAGACCAGGCTGACCTTGGACTCAGAAATCCGTCTCTCTGCCTCCTGAGTGCTGAGATTGAAGGCGGCCATCGCTTCTAACAGGGAATGAAATGACCTCTCCTGTGTACCCTTTCAACTCCAACAGATCCATGCTAACCAAATACATAACCAACTCCTCTTTAGGGGAGTCTGTCACCAGGCGACTCTAAATTCCCGTGGCAGACCAAAGTTCATCTCTTTGACTGGACCACGGTAGAGACCACACACTCAGGGTAGGTGTTCTTGTTGTTGTTGTTGCTGCTGTGACTACTGCAGCTGTGGCTGCTGTTTTACTTCTGTGTTAGGAATGGAGCCCAAGGCCCTGTATGTGATAAACAAATGTTCTACCATGGGGTGGCATCATTCTTGGCCCTCAGTGTTAGTACCTAAATGCTTTGCAATTTCATCTCTATGATTCTAATATATACCAGTGGGTGACGTTGCTTTAGAAAATCCTCAGATAGAAGCCTTTAAATTTCTCCTGCCCACCATTTTCCAACTCCCACATACCTCCAATGCCCACATAATATGTTCACTATTAAAAATATAGCTCCATTAGGCCAAGAAACTGTTTCTCGTTCAAGAGAAAAGCTATTGTTAAAAGAATCCCATCATTTTATTAACCCTGGCTGGCCTCATTATCATACACAAGGTTAGCTACCTGGAGATGATCAGTTTGGAGAAAGAGCAGATCTGGAGAAGAAAGGGAGCTTAGGACTGACACGATCTGACTGGAAAAAAGTGGAAAACAGAAGAGGACTAGCTGAGGTGCCAAGATAGAGCCCACTGGTAAACTGGAGGCAGCATTCATTCATTCATTCAGTCAGTCAGTCAAGCAACAAACATTCATCAAGCCTATATAGTGCAGTCTTTTACTTCAAAGACCAAACTGGCAGCTTCTCCATGGTGTCCCAGGAATCTCATCACAAAATAACCGTATCTTTTTTTTTAAAGATTTATTTATTTATTATATATGTGTAGCTGTCTTCAGACACCAGAAGAGGGCATCAGATCTCATTACAGATGGTTGTGAGCCACCATGTGGTCGCTGGGATTTGAACTCAGGACCTCTGGAAGTGCAGTCAGTGCTCTTAACCACTGAGCCATCTCTCCAGCCCCAAAATAACCGTATCTTAAAGGAGTATCAGCTTTTGTGATGTTCATATCCTATGTGTGTGCAAAATGGAATGCAGGGTAGAAAAACTCACTTCTCGGACTCATGAGAGTCTGTGGATGGGGACGACTGAGGAGTCACCTAACCCAGGCTTTGCTGTCCCGGCCTTATTACTATTAAGTCTTAAATTTCTGAGTTCCTGATACAGATGGGAACAGAGACACTCTGACTAAACCAGAGATGGAGATGGAGACATGGACCACTCACCCCCCTGTCCCTTTCTCCTATCCCTGAAGTAGCTCTGAGCCCCTATAGGAATGCCGACACTCCTAGAAACAGAAACAAATCTGAGTACTGATGATCCCTCCGACAATCTCATTTTGTACATTTTGTACATTTCTTTTTGTAAAACTTGGCACTTCATATTTCTATTGATTTAGCTGTCTTATTTTCTTTTTTAAATCATAGGTTTCTTGAGGGCAGGAACTTTTTTTTTTTTAAATAAAAAAAATTTTTTTTAGTGAACTTTCTCTTCCTATGAGTGTTTAAGGCCTTGTTAAAATCTTCCAGTTATTTCCAGAAATGATCAGGGACTTTAATTATATATAAACATCCTTTATTGGATCTTTGAAAACTGACTTCACAGACCTACGAAATTCTCAGCTTGAAGGGACCTTGGAGAACACGTGCTTTAATACTCTAATTTTCTGGAACTGGTAACCGAGGCCCAGATAAGTGATTAGGTTGATGTCATATACTAAGTTAATGGTGGTACTGGGACGGTATTGCTGGATCCCGATTCCCGGTTTAGGGCGGTTATAACTTCAAACAGGAGGCTACACTTACGCTGCTAGAATATTATGGATTTATATTTCTGAGAACACACTTCAAATACCCATAAATCTCTCCCTCTCTCCCCCATCATCATATGAGAATTGTTATTAGAATCCAGGACCTCTATTTTATTAGCTGTAGCTCTTTAACTTATAAAATTAAAAGGTCCTGGCATGAAGAGGTGTCCACCATACATTAAATGGAATACAACCATTATTCACTTAAAGCTCTGGGCAATTTCCTGAGGGTTAGTGGGACATATTTTTCTATGGTCACTCTTAACTTGATTATCTCACGAACACTGGAGTCCTTCATGATGTGATAACCTTGTGTCATTCATACTGGTGATGCTAGCAGCTCACATCAGGGCTTGAAGAATCTAAAATGTACATTTTCCCTGTTTCTTAAAAATGCTTTACACTATCACACAATATATATATGCCACTGCCTGTTTGCTCAGTCCTTTATTGACAGAATTAAAGATGTCTCAAACTTCTCAAAAAAACTGCAGTGACAGTCCCCATTCGTTCTCCATTTTGCATCCATTTTTTTTATGAGATGAGTTCCTCAAAGTGCAATTTCTGGGTCAAATTTTGAGCTGGTCTTCTTAAAAAATTTTTCCCTGTAGCCAGGACTAAAATAAACTCTTGCATCTGTATATAACTATGCATTGTATTAAGGTTTTTATATAAATGAGGTTATTTTAACTTAAAGAATGATTTATTTTTACTATATGTGCATGAATGTTTTACCTGCACACACACACACACACACACACACACACACACACACACATGCATTATGTGTGTGTTGCTATTGCTGGAAGCTGGAAGAGGGTGTTGGATCTCCTGAAATGGAGTTACAGCCAGTTGTGAGCCACTGTGTTGGTGCTGGGAACTGAACTTTGGTCCTCTACTAGAGCTGCAAGCACTCTTAACCACAGAGTCATCTCTCTAACTCCCTGGAAAAACCAACCAACCAACCAACCAACCAACAAACAAAAGAAACCTTTTTGACTATAATATGAGTTTTTCAGTGGGAAAGTTGGGATTCAGGTAAGTTAGTGTGTCTGTTCAAGTCCTATGACTAGGGAAGGTGGGGAGAGTTTCCTCATTCCAGTATAGGGTTAAGAGTCCCAGGTAAAGGGGTTGGAGAAATGGTTCATTGGTAAAGGCACTTCTTCTCAGCAGAGGATCCGAGTTTGATTTCCACAACTCACATCCTTTAACTCCAGCCCCAGAGGATCCAAGGCCCTGTACTGGCCTGCATGGCATGAACATGCGTGTGTGTGGTGCTCATAAACTCTTACAGCCTCGCACACACACTCATGAAGATATAGATCTATAATCCACATATCTATATCATCTCTATCTATATCAATCTTTATACATACACATATATGTATACACACATACATACACACACACACACACACACACACACACACACACACATATATATATATATATATATATATATATATATATGTTTGTTTGTTTTATTTTTGTTTTTTGTTGTTTGAGACAGGGTTTCTCTGTGTAGCCCTGGCTGTCCTGGAACTCACTCTGTAGACCAGGCTGGCCTTAAACTCATAGATCCTCTTGCCTCTACCTACCAAGTACTAGGATCAAAGGTGTGCACCACCATAGCCTGGCTTTTTTTTTTTTTTAAAGAAATATAGACTTTTAAAAAAAAGTCCCTAGTTAAAACACAGAAGCAAACCTCTTAGAAAAAGGCTGAGAACAAAACTCCAGCAGAGATGGCTACTCTGGGCTAGACTGTGGCTGAGCTAAACCATTTACCCTTTGCCCTGATGTTTGCTGGAGACAGTACCAGTTTCCTGTCTGAAGCCAGTTGCATGTCCACAGGTCCTTCTTTCTCACACTGCTTCCAAGGGAAAACCTGTGTCCCCTCTTCTGAGATGAGATACTCTTGTTAATAAAAAGGCAGACACTTCCAGATGGAGGTAGAGAGGACCCAGGAGCTTAAGCAAGGCTGAAAACAAACCGTACTGAAATGGTTTGATGCTATCGCTGGAAATAAACACTGCCTTCGTTTGCCTTAGGGAAGAGAGGTGTCAAAGGACGCTGAGACAACTGTTTGTATCCATGACGCAGATGTGGGCCTTCCAGAGCAGTTAAGCCATGGTGAAGAGTCGAAGCAGAAGGCACTTTTTGCGTCTGGAGACAGAGATGCAGTTCTGGTGTGTGTTCATCTCTGCCCTCAGGAGCCATTTCCGGTACGGGATGTGTTGGGGGAGTGGCTGGTGACAAGCAATATTTTCCTGGATCACAATCCTTCTCCCTTTCCTCAAACCAAAGCCTTGTCTCTGCACATACGTTTAAACTTTTCAAAATAATCACCGATGCTTTAGCAAACATCACATCTTATTTGGCTTTATAATCATTTGTTGGGTGTCCACTTCTATGTGTGTGGAGGAACCTGAGGACAGGAAGCTAAGGAATACACACTTCTCTGCAGAAAGGCATGGGGGACTTGGGAGGCAGCTTCATCCTTAGCTACCCAACCCTTCCCGATGCTAGCTCCTGGGGGCAGTAGCTGCTGGTGTATGCAGGCGAAGGGTTAACAAACGCCTGGCATGTCACACTATTGCCATGGGCTGGTGCCTCCAAAGGGCCCCCTGAAAGCTTTGGGACCTGGGTTATGTTTGGCTTCAGCCTTGTGAGACCTCATTTCTAGACTGCGTATTATGTTAGTGGGACCCAGAGAGATTTATTTTCGTGACCTTTCCGGATGTGGAATCTGAACCAGGGGGAGGGCGAAAATCAGCTCCGAAGCGGTTAATTTTACTAGCTCCTAAATTGATAAGCGGTGAGACGTCAGTCTGAAATGAACTCGCCTTGTTCGACGGGGTTTTAAGACAGCGGAACTCAATCAGCAGCGGGCCGCACGGTTCAAGGCTGCAATTCATCCCGCCGTGCCTCTGAAAAATGGGAGGTGACAGTTCATTTTGCCAGTGACAGTCTGTCGGTCTCGCTCGCTGCTTCTCCTGTCGATTGCCTGGCTGAGGTGAAGCTCAGCTTCGAGACACCCTCGTTTGGTATTCCACTCAGCTGAGCAGGACAGTCCCGGGACCCAAGGTGTGCAAATCTTTCCGCCCCACAGCTCATCTCCCTGCCTTCTCCGGAGCTCTGAACCGTTCGCTTAGGCCTGATCGTGGGTCCCAAGAGCCATCTTCCCACTTCCTGTACCTCGTTTGTCCCTCTAACTTTCACTTCCAAGCTGGGCCGCCTGTCTGGGACCCTGTGAAACAAAGCTTAGATGAGACTTCCAAGAGAAGTCTGTGGACAAGGGTGCAGAGATGACTGTGTAAGTGACCGTCCTGGGATGGGGCTCAGAGCCTTGCGCATGCTCAGCAAGCAAGCCTTCAACCTCAAGCCCTACAACTTCAGGGGTTGAGAAGCGAGACAAGAGGGATGACACTGTGTTTGTACTTAATCCCAAATTGCCTTCCCCCTCCCAATTACTTTCTATTTCTCTAAAAACAACACACTTGGAATTATGCATGTGTTTTTATTACAGTTCTTTGCTTTAATAAATTTGAACGGAATGCCCTCATTGTTAAGAAACACTTGTAAAAGAAACACTTGTAAAAAAGTTTTTTTTTAGGAAAAAAAGGAGCTGCCTGTAATTTATTCTTGAAAAGTCCAGGCATATATAGAAAAAAATAAATATGCCAAAAATTAATGACTGATGGATCCAACCAAGTTAGTGATATACAAGAGCTTTATATATTATAGAAACTTTTCTGTAAGTTTGAAATTATTTTAAAAAAGTAATTCTAAAAAAATCTGAACAGATTGACCCTGCCTTATTGACGAGGCTGTGTCTCAATAAACATTTTAAAAACCACTTATTTCAATGGCTATAGAGATGGCTCAGCAGTTAAGAGCACTGGTTGCTTTTCCAGAGGCCCCTGTTCTGTTCCTAGCATCCATTTGGCAGCTCACAACTGTCTGTATGTCCAGTGTCAGGGGATCTGATGTCATCTTCTGGTATTTACAAGCACCAGGCATGTGAGTGTGAACAGACCTACATGCAGGTAAAACACTCATACACATATATTTGGGTTTTTTTTTTAACTCTCTGTGTGTGTACATCCACAAGTGTGTGGAAGCCTAAGACTGATGTCCAGCATCATCCTTGTCTTAATCAGGGTTTTACTGCTGTGAGCAGACACCATGACCAAGGCAAGTCTTATAAGGACAATATTTAATTGGGGTTGCATCCGGGCAGGCATGGTACAGTAGGAGCTGAGAGCTCTACATCTTCATCTGAAGGCTGCTAGTGGAAGACTGACCTCCAGGCAGCTAGGAGGAGGGTGTTAAAGCCCATGCCCACAGTGACACACCTACTCCAACAAGGCCACACCTTCTAATAGTGCCTCTCCCTGGGCCCAGCATATACAAACCATCACAATCCTCAATTGATCATCCACCTCATCCATGAGGCAGGGTCTCTCAATCAAACCCAGAGCTTCAGATACAGCTAGTCTCTCTAGTCACCTTGCCCTGGGGATCGCCTGTCTCTATTGTCCCAGGCTGGAATTACAGATATGCTGGCTCTGGGTGTCTGAGCTCCTGTTTGCAAAGCAAGGGTTTCAACTACTGAACTATCTCCTCAGTCCAATAAGCATTTATTTGACACACCCTATGTATATTGGGAATAAAATGGTAACTAATAGGGGTCTGGAGAGATGGCTCAGAGGTTAAGAGCACTAACTGGTCTTCCAGAGGTCCTGAGGTCAATTCCCAGCAACCACATGGTGGCTCACAACCATCTGTAATGGGATCTGATGCCCTCTTCTGGTGTGTCTGAAGACAGCTACAGTGTGCTCACGCATATATAGATAAATAAATCTTTAAAGAATGAAAACCGATATAGGAATGATCTTGGAGTTGGGGAAGACAAGTGGTGGCAGACATGCAGTGACAGACGGGCTATGAGCTTTGACTGACAGGAGCTAACCACAGTAAGAGCACGTGGGAGGGGTAAAGCTCAGGTCCAGCAGTTACTGCTTGCTGTCGGAGGAAATGATGTTCTAAGCTGTGACTCGAAGAGAGAGTGGTGGTCAGCTGACTAAGGGCAGGGGAAAGCCTTGCAGATAGAGGGGACATTCTGTGAAAAACGAGAGTGGGGTGCAACTCGTTTGAGAAAACAGGTTTGTTACTTAAAAGGACACAGAGACCTGGGCGTGGTAGTACATGCCTTTAACCCTAGCTCTGAGGAGGTAGGGGCAAGGAGGTCTCTGTGCATCTGAGGCCAGTCCATGTCAAGTTCCAGACCAATCAGGGATAAACATCGAGAGCCTGTCTAAAAGGAAAGAAGAAAGAGAAAAGAAAAGACAAAGTCAGGGACCATGGAAAGGGAGGGACTAGGGAGGTGAGTAGCTCAAATGTAGTGGTGATGGTGGTGGCGGTGGTGGTGACAATGGTGGTGATGGTGATGGTGATGATGGTGATGGTGATGGGGGACAGTGATGGTTGTAGGCTTAGACTTTTTTAAAATCTATTTTGGTGGTGGTGATGATGGTGGTGGTGATGGAGGTGGTGATGATGGTGATAGTGGTGATGGTGGTGATGATGGTGAGTGATGGTGGTTCTTGACCCCTTTAGAGGTAGCATGTAGAAGGAGCTAAGGTGGGAGGAGTTAGGAGAGGAAGAAGAAGAGGAGGAGTAAGGAGGAGAGGAGGAAAAGGAAGAGGAGGAGCTAGGAGAGGAGAGAGGGAGAGAGAGGAGACGGAGGCGGATGTTCACGTGTCTGTAGCAGTCAAAGGTAGTTGGTATATCTAGGTTGGGTATTGGGTTACACTTCTGATTGTATGGGTATCTTGTTACTGATCATTGCCAAATATATAAGCCTTTGATTAATCTTTAAGCATTAGAGTCTTATCTTTCTACTGGCCCCACATGGATGACAGGATGGTCTGGGAAATGCCCAGCCTTGCGGAGACAGCGTGGAAGATTGGCAGAGCCATCTCCCACTCTGGCGTCTCGTAGGTGGCAGGGCTGGTGTTTCTGGTGGGCTGGTTCTAGCTGCTGCGCACACGTGGCCTCCAAACATGGCGGCTGTGCTAGGCCAAGCCGATGCAGCTTAGATAGTCGGCATGAGCCAGAGGCTGATTTTAAATAATTAACACAACAGTAGCATATCAGATATCCTGCATATCAGATATTTAGATTATGATTCATAACAGTAGCACAACGACAGTTATTAAGTAGCAACAAGATAGTTATATGGCTGGGGGTCCCCACAACATGAGGAGCTGTATTAAAGTGTTGCAGCGTGAGGGAGGTTGAGAACCACGGAGCTACTGACTGGAGCAAGGATCTACTACACCTCTAACCTAATCACATCTCTCATTTTCAAGGCCAGAAAGTCATGTGTAAAATAGATTTCAAAGATTAAAAAAAATGTATATGTCTCTGCATGATTGTATGTTCACCGTGTGTTTTTAGGTGTACATGGAAGCCAGAAGATGGTTTCAGATCCTCCGGAATTACGCTTAGAGGTTGTAAGCTGCCCAAAGTGGATGCTGGGAACAAATCTGGGTCCTCACAAGAACAAGGGCTCATAATCACCGAGCCATCTCTCCAGCTCCTACGAGCAAGAAAAGGCTAATGTTTTCTGTAGTTATTCTGGTGTGTCCCAGCAGATATGAGGAGTAAAGGAACATGGTAGGTAAATAGCACTTCCCTTTTCTTTTTAAAAACACTTATTTATTCACCTGGTTATCTATGTGTGTACACACGTATGTGTGTGCATGAGTGCATGTGCCTTGCATGTGTGGAGTCCAGAAGAGGGCATTGGACCTCTCAGTAATGAAGTTGCAGTGGTGTGTGGGATACCCTGGAGTTTTAGTTGTGTGTGTGGGATTCCCTGCAGTCACAGTTGTGTGTGGGACACCTGGCTCATTATGTGGGTGCTGGGATCCAAACTCTGCCCCTCATGATTGAGGAGCTGGTGCTCTTAACCAATGAGCCATCTCTCAAGCCCCAGACTGCATGTTCTTTCATCAGATCCACTCCTTTTGAAAAAAATAGAATTAACAGGGTGTATGGTCTAGCTTTTTTTTTTTTTTTTCTCTCTCCGCTCATCAGACCTAATTGACTTTGGTGGGAGGGAGCTGACTGTTCCTTTATGATGCCATTGCTACGACTTCAGCCGAGCTGGTTTGGTTGGGTCAGCGAGAGTGTGAGCTATGGACTGGGAAATACTCAATCCATGATTCTTCCTTGGCATCTTGGTGACAATTTCCTTTTTCTCACCTAAGCTATTCGGTTTGGGCTTTATCTCTTATAATCAAGAGTCCTGACAAGAAACCCTTAAGGAAGGTAGGTTGTTAGAGAGATAATGAGACACTGACAGTGGAAATCATAGGCATAAGAATGGAATCTGCAGAGGGGCCAGACTCATTGGCAAAATGTGAATGGAAGGCAGTGTGTGGCTCTTCCTAGGCCCTCCTAACCCAGCACCTTTGTAATGGAATTTCTCCATCAGGTAAAGTAAGCAGGGCCACACCTCAGTGGCAGTATGGCAAGAAGAGACTCTAAAAATGGTCTGAGAACAAACAGGCTCCAAATGGGTCAACAGAGGCTGAAGAAGTGATTCAAATCTGAGCAACAACCCTGGAAACCACAGAAAGACATGAGGAAGGACTGAGATAATTGCACTTGACAGATGAGGGCTTTTGACCCAGTGGACTTTAAAGTAAATTGTTAAAGTGATCCTGCCTGGTAGTACCTGAGAGGCAATGGAAACCACATTAAAACTTTTATTAGAACAAAGAAAAGCTGCAGAGGAAGCCCAGGGCTAAGCCAGGAATTGTGTATGGTTAGTCAAAGAGGGGAAGATTCCAGAGGACAATGAGCAGAACTCCCAGGTAAAATCAGGTGGGAGGCTGTGTGAGGCAGCCCAGCTAGTGACACTCTTACCTTGCTAGCAATGAGTTCTTGATTTGAAATTCAACATCTTTGCAAGAAAGCCAGGTACGGTGGTATGTCTGTGAGTCTGTCTTTGGGGAGAACCAGGAAAATTCCCTGGGCATTGGTGGCAATAAATTTTGTCAAATTGTGAGCTCTATGTTCCATGGAAGACCCAGTCTCAAAAAATAAGAAAGAGTAATTGAGGAAGAGGAAGATGCTTGGTCTGAACCTCTGACCTTGTGCGCACACACACACACACACACACACACATGCACACACATACACAGGCATACACACACACACACACACACACACACA